AGGAAATCTCTGCAAAATACGCTGTGAGATGAACAGAGCGAGGCAGATCAGACAGTGTGCATGCTGCATTACTGTTTCTGTTCAAAGGGGAGAGAAAAAACATTACTGCTCATTTTTTGTACAGAAGTATTTTTAAATTTCTAGAAAGAGACAAGAAATAGGGAGACCTGTTTTTCATCTCTGAGCCATGTGGACATAATTCTTATAGAAAACAATGACAATGAAAAAAGAAAAACACTGTGTGAACTTAAGGTTGACTTTTGGATGTATTCCGGGTGCTATAAAAGCACATATTTGCATCATTGTCCAAAACACTCAAGTGATTTAAGTTTCTCTTACAGAAAAAAGAGAATATTTCCCCCCAAAAATTGTTTCCCTATATTTAAGATATTTTTAAATTCTATTACTTCAGTAACATCCTTCAAAAGAAAATCCCAAAGCACAAACACTTCTTTACCTAATGGTAACATTATGCTAACACTACAAGCACATTACATGTAAGGAACTGAAATTCAAGTAATCATCTAAACCTTTGAGGTCGGTACTATTACTACTCCATTTTCCAAATGAGACCATTGAGGGGCTACCACTTTTCTCCCATCTTGCAGCTAAGAAATGAAAGAAAGGAGATTCCAGGGAAACTGGCATCCTCCAAGACCAGAACACTTAACCACAGCTGGCCCAGCCTCCTGAGTTGCCTCTAGTGGGCTGAAGGGTGACAAAATGGGGGAAACAGCCCGGTGAGCCAGAATGACAACACCCTCAGGTCTTTAAGGTTCAGCTAGGAGGTGTTCTTTAACCATAAGAGTGTCACAGCTCTCTCTTCCTTTAACCTTAGGATGCCAGAGCTCTCTCCTCACTAGCCTCCCATACCTGCTTTGAGAGGACAGGCAGAATCATTTTCTGGTGTGTAACAGAAAATACTATAGGTCACCTCCAATGACAACAAATTCTAGTGCCATGAAAATCTCACTGTAACAAAAATGTTTACGATTATTTCATTCCCATTATTCTATCCACTCGGTAAGTTTGTTCCAACAAAACAAAACGTATAAGTATATCCAAGACAATGACTGGTGCTTGTGGTCTATGATATCCTCCTTTACAGCCAAAATACAGATGTGTCCGCTTAGCTTTGCCCATTCAGGTCTTTACATCATTCAAACCAATATAAACTCTCTATAGCTACATAAACAGGAAAAAAAAAAAGCCATTCATCTTGTTCATCCCTCTGCACCTTCTGCAGGTAAATCTGTGGGCTCTTACAGCACTGAGCTCACACACAGGCCAATCAGAACACACAGCTCAGGATAAGGGAAGCTCTTTTAAGCAAAGCCCTTGCGCAGCACAAACTCAAGTCCGCAAGTGCCAGGTTTTGGAGGATCCCAGGGGTGGCTTGGTGACTTACCCTCGCTGGCATTTTCTTTGAGCTGTTCCTCGTATTCCTGCATGGCCGACACACAGCTGTTGTGAATCAGCTCCCCAAGGCGCTTCAGATCTGCAACGGACTTATCCACCAGCTCGGCATCGCGGGCTATGCACTCCAGCCTGGGGACACACAAGGACGGGGACACTTCAAGGCCCTGTCCCCACTTGCCTAATGTCACGTGAAAAATACCACTTGGTCTCAGATAAACTTGTTCCTACGAAGCAATACAGGGCCGTGTGCCCACTGAAGTCACATGAGATACCATCTGGTCTCCTATAAACTAGCTCCTAAAAAGACCCTTTTCTCTCCATTCCTTAATTGATTATTCCGACAAGAACTCTGCAACAGCTACTGAGGGCTCAATCACTCATTTTCCATCATAAAGAACTGTGCCTTGGAATAGTCCGTAATTTCACAACAGAGGGGAAAGAGCTCGGTTTCCCTTGTGAACCACATGGGCTGTCTGATAACGGTAGCAGGAAAGTGCCAGAAGACTATTTTAAACTCATCTGCCTCCCCGGTGCCCTCTTTCTTGTCTTTTCTTTTCTTTTCCAGCCTGCTTTCCATTCATTGCAGTGTTTTCTTAGGAGCAAAGTACAGTTATTGCTATTATGTGTTTTGCGGATCTCTAAATCATATGGAGCATGGAATACATTCATGTCTAATAAACATCAGGCCACCTAAAGGTGCCAGACTGTAAGCCAGAAGCAATTGCAACCCAACAGTGAGAGACGCAGATAAGGAACAATTATTAACTTACCGTTCAAGGGGGAGGCCAAACTTCTTATACGCTTTGATGAACCTAGAAAGATGATTGAAAAAAAAAAAACACATTAAGAAAACAGAGACTTTAGCTATGTTATTGCAAATATATCCTGTGAAAAAATATGAGCCATGTAAACTGAAAAATAGACTGGGCCCAATCCTTACAATAGGCACTAAATGGATGAATGTTTACTGCCTTTGAAAATGGCCAACTCAAAATAATGAGTGGTGAAAATCTATTCAAACTAAAGATCAACTTTATTCTCAGTGACTGATCATGAAACCGGTTGGGGACGTAATTGAGAATGGTGACTTAATTCTAACATTATCCTTTTTCGAAGGTACAAGTTTTGTAATGGATGATTCAATCACTACACATTTTGTGATAAAACCCCCAAAATAGTTAATTGGTCTATTCGGTCCACTACTGTTACTTTCAATTCCATACAGCAATATTTTTCATCATTTTCTGGTCAATAATACAACTATACAATTTTTAAGACTGCCTCAAATATTTTGGGGAATGAGGCAAAGTACAATATATGATTTAAAGTTTCTTAGGCAAAACTATTTTGGAAATTCTGTTGACTCCTGCCCAACCTTAACTCCAACCAAATTCCAACCTATCCTACAAGTCTCCAGGCAAACCATGCTGTACGCCAATCCACGTGTTTCGTGCTCCACTCCCTACAGCTAACCACGAGCACTGTCAATAAAAAGCAAGATGTCACAATACGTCAAGGGCCTCACTGTGACATGCCGTGCCAAATCACTAAAATAATCTGGTTAGGTAAGAGTGTAAGGAGGGATACTATGGGGGAAAAATGGAATGCGAGGGCATGGTAACTGAAGAAAATGGAGATGAATGTGACAATAACTTAGGAACAATATGAAAATAACAGCGTGGATAAAAGGATTAGGAAGGAAAGTATTATGTGTGAAAGTGAACCTGAGGATTATTCTGCAACTCTACATTTCTCCCTGATATACACTGAACTATCTTACATCTGAAATAATATGACATTTGGGATTTGCTTCAAACTAATACTGAGAGGGGTGGCCAGTTAGCTCAATTGGTTAAGAGTGTGGTGCTGGTAACACCAAGGTTGCCGGTTTGATCCCCACATAGGCCACTGTGAGCTGCAGCCTCCTTAAAAAATAATAATAATACTGAGGCAGAGAAGCATATCTGGGATGTTGTATGACTCGGTCTCTTGTGCCTTTCTGGTCGGTACTGGCCTCTGCCCTCCCTGTCTAAGTGTAAGGGGTCCCATCAGCCCAAGGTCAATGGCATGCCCTCCCCCAAGCAAGCCCAAGTGAGAGCAGAGCCGGCCCGAACCTGCGGATCTCCGCGTCAGTAAATCCCTCCACCAGGTCCTTCCGCACACTCCGGGGGCGCCCTCTACGCTTTGGCTTCTTGTCGTCATCAGAGTCATCTGTCTCACTCTCGGAAGCAGAGGACCTCTGGGCCTGCCTCTTAGACTCAGTGTCAGAGTCGCTGTCATTTGTCTGAGCCTGAAATGGCAAAGTCACATTGTAACAAATGCTGGGTGCAAGAAGTCTGAGGACAAAGACCAGCCCACCCTAATTCTTTGGTACTCAGAACGTCCCTTCACACCAGACAAGTCAATCTAATGAGAAGGAGGCAGATGTCATGTAATGAAGGTACGTCTGGCTTGGGATCGTCACACTTCCAGAGACATATCATAACATAGTAAGTAAACAGATATAAATACTTGGATGATAGGTTCATGGTGACTTCCTTGGGCAAGTTACTTGCCCTCATTTTCCATTTGTAAAATGAGAATAATAGCACCTATAATTAGGGTTTTCATAAGGATTAAATGAGTCAGTAAGTGTGAATCCACTAACTCATGCCTGGCACAGAGTGAGTACTCAGAATGAGTAATAGCTACTATTAGCTAATGCTGATTTTCCAAGATCTTGTCCAAACCCCAATCTGTTATCTCCAACAAATTGGGTAGTAACTACCTAATTCGATGTTGTTACAAACATCAAACTCAATAGTGCCTGTGCTGGTGCTTCATAAGCTGTGAAGCACACTTCCATAATCTCTTCCGAGTATTTACACCAACTGCTACGAACAAAACACTTAAAGGCAAAAAAAAGGTTTGCCAATTAGGAACAAATCATTAGGATTGCTGGTTCTAAAGTCGATGACAAAATGCAAACTTCTGTCAAACTCCAGTCCTGTGCGGCCATCTCACAAAGAGCCACCGAGCAGAGATGAAATGCCTCCTGCGCCCTGGGCGTTTTTCCATGGTCCTCTGCGAGGCTGCCCTAAAATCCTCCAGGTCAGGGCCCCTTCCTTGAACCGCCAGCACTTTGGCAGCCTTTACGGCAGAAGTTATCATACGGACACGCGTTATCTTTCATCTCACTCGGTCACCTTTTTAGTGGAACTCCGAATTCGTGGCAACATGTAAATTTCCTCCAGCTCCTTCTGCCGCTCCTCCTCCTCTACTCTCTTCCTCTGCTCCTCAGGGATGATCTCGTCCCAGTCCTTGTGAGGACGCTCTTCCAGCTCTTCTTCATCTTCCATTGTTGCGAAGTTGGCGACCTTGAAACAAATGGGCAACTGACATTTCCCTATTTCCCAAACACCGTTTACTGAGACAGCAGCTCACAATAGCGGCTTTCACCTAAGTAGGGTGCTACGAATAATATGAGGACTCCTATGATGTTACATAACCAAAGAATCAGTCTCCTACGAATCTCTCCCGTATCTTCCCCACAGTAAGTTGCCAAAACCTCAATTTCATCAGAAATCTCACTGAAAAGTAGGGAACCAGATCTAACGATATAAATTCTTGTAACTATTGGAAGATTTGTTGCTAAATCACACATTTTCTAATAAAAGATACTAATTAGAAATTTTAGATTTGTTTAGATTACAAAATGCTGAATACCTAATACTAATCTATTACGAACTTACAGTTCTATAAAATTTAAGTGGGTACTGAATAGAGCTCATGTGAAACAATGCCTAACTCAAACCACTAGCTATCATCTAGCCAACTTGTTTCTTTATTCCTTTTTATCAAAAGTATAGAAGCAAAAGGTATATAATAATTTCATTGCTCAAAATGCACTTCAGTCTTAGGAATGAAAATGAGAACATAAAATGCAAAAGCGTTCAAGCAAACCTGGAGGAATACTCCATTTACTTTATATCAAATATTTAGTATCCGATATCTATTTGTACTGAAACAATATGTGTCCCAGAAAGAAAACCACCTGAGTGGATTTCAGGCTCAGACTGTGGCTGCACAGAAACACGGGCCAGCTCCAGCCAGCCTCTGAGGGGCAGTGCACAGGCCCCAGGTCTGGCTCCACATTCTTCGTATTCCTTCCCACCTAGGCCTTATGAGTCTAATGAAGTACAGCAGGGCTTCTGGGAGTTCCATTCCTCAATCACTTGGAACTGACAGTGAAGTCAGAACTTGATGTCTTTTGGCCAAAATTAAGTCTAATTTCCAACATGGATATTGTGATCCTCATCATCAGATTTTTTAAATTCCACGACAAGAGGTGTAATTCCTGAGACTGAAAATTTAACATTTCTGTATTATGAAATGAATCATTTGACCAACCTCTTAAACACTGTTTGTAATTACTTCAAGGTCTCAGTCTTAAAACACAGATGAAAATGATATTGGTCGACATATAAATATCAACATTGCATATACATCTATCTGTCAGTCGTTCATGCAGTTGGAAATTTAACTTTTCCAAAGGTGGCATAGTGGTTAAGAGCCAGACAACAGGCCAGACCACCTGCCTAGGAGGTAATCACGATTCCATGTATGTGTGACCTTAAGGAAACCTACTGAGCCTCTCTGTGCCTCAGTTTCCTCATCCGTAAATGAAGATAACATCTACGGTGGTTAAGGACTTGAAGAGTTAATATATATAAAGCATTATAAACAGTGCTTGAAGCATACTAAGAGTTATATAAGTGTTGGTCATTATCAAGAAAATGGAAATCTTACATTATCTCAAAAAGTGTCTGCAACATGTTAAAATAGGGTAACACAAAAAAAAGTAAGGATTACTGGAAAAAATGAAGTCAATTCAGTGAAAAACTCCAGAAAAAGAGTCCCTACAGTAAGCAGATCCTACTTCATTCAAATCCCTTAACCGGGTGCTGAAAACATAATGGCCACAAGGACTTTACAAAGGCCAGAGTCACCAGTAATGTGACTTCTGATTAATCTGCAGCATGCAGAAACTTTTACACCTAAACACTCATATAATATTCTGACCAAGACAATCATCATGAGGATTACTTCTGTTTGAGAGCAGCAGTCATAGAAATGGAATCCAGTTGAAACACTATTAATCACCTTCATCTTCAGACACATTAGCCGACCCTACAGCTCTCTCTGGGTCACTCGATTCCTTGTTTTTCCACTGAGACAATGTCTATCTGTGACCAGCCCTGGACCTCACTGCACGATGCTGCTTCCTCCTTAACACTTGGCCCACATCCCCCTCCCTCCTAAGGGGTCTGTCACACTTTGCCATCACCGTAACCTCCAGGTCTCCCCTGCTTCTCTAACCTGCGTGGAGCCAACCCGTGGTCAAGCCTTTCAACCACGTTCTCCCTTGAACCTGGGAAACTTGCCCCTTTGTGATTCTCCTGTGCCTACCAAGCCCATCTCCCACCTTAGGATCACCAACTGATCCAATTTCTGACCTCAAGGATTGCTGGAGAAGGTCATACGACCTGCTGACTGGCTCCCATGTGAAGTGAAGCCTGTCTTCTAAATTCAGCTCTGCCTCCTATCACGTTCCTCCCCGAAACTCTCAGCCCCACCCAGGGCCGTCCCAGATCCTTTCCACTTCTCAGCAAACGCTTCACTTAACTTGAGTGGTAATTGAGGTCACCAACTCGAACTCCCACATCTTCTACACCCTCCTATTCCCTAAAGTGAACTTTCCTTTTTCTTCCGAAAGGTCAAGTTCTCCATTTGTGCTTTTGAGTACACCTCTTCCAGTCTCCTCATACCTCACTATTCTCAAGTTCTTTCCTAGAAGTTCAACCTAGAAACATGGTCACATCTTTAAAAAAAAACCTTGCTCTGCTTGATCCTTTTATCCCATACGTTATCTTCACTCTACTCTTCATTAGCTTTTTAATATCTATACTGAATGCTGTCACCTCCTATTTACCTGCTGCCCAGCTTCTGCATTTATTCCTAATCTCATTTAATTTTCTGTCATATCCAAATACCATAGGCCACCTGGTAATCAACCTTAAAAGAACTTTCCACAATTTCCTTACCTTAAATTGTGACAGGAGCTCATCTGTCGCACTTGTTGACACTTCGTTCTCTCTGGTTTCAGCCAAACGTAAAATTTCATCTATATCCATTTCCTGAAAGAAAACAGCAACACAGGTATGGTAAAAAAAGAAAAAAAGCCAACAGTGGTCACAGCACTTACTGAAAATGTTTGTGTCTTTCTGACATTCCATTTTTTATTTTCTTTTACAGTCTCAGCTTTGTATCCTTTACATATATCTAATGTTTCAAACTATTATTTATACAAATGATAAGGTAAAACTTCAGAAATTACAAGAAATATACCTGGAATAAAAAAGACCAAGAACAGAATCCTCGAATGCTTTTCTCATTCTTTCCTACTCAATGTAGTAAAAGCTTTGCTCTCTTAAGAAAACAACAACAACAACAACAAAAACTATGTCCTTCAAGTAATCCCTGTTTCTTTATAAAAGCATAGAACACAGGCTCAGAATCTACTTCCAGGAAAATTTAGATGTTCACAGATACTTGTCAAGAAAAATTGTTTTCTTCATTGTTAATTACCTGAGGCTCTGACTCCTCGCCTTCAAGCTCTTTGAAGAGATCCTCTGCCCCAAATTTCAAAATAGCTGTGAGTTCTTCTTTATTAAAAGGATTTGAACTGTAAAAGTAAAATGTAGTTGTAATGTCTTAGGAATGTCAAATAACCTCTATGGAGTTCTATTATGCTACATCTCTATGTATCGATCCTTCATAAAGGGGTCAAATTACCGGTGAAAATATAAATTCTGCCACAAGAAAAAAATAATCTCTCAAATTATTTCATTTTTAAAATCTGCAGAATGAGTTTGTGGTGGTAAACCTCGCCCGGCTGAAGACTGGGAAATCAATTATTTTCCTGTTGTCTTGTCTATTACGTGGTTAAGCGAAAAATGTCACTAGCAGGATGAAAGGAGAAAAGTTCTCTGTGTCCTTTGGCTCAGAAAGTTATCATTCGCCAAGAACTTTCAACCTACTCACGTCTGTTCCAAAGTTAAAAGGACCAAGATCCTCCCACCTAGGTTCCTCTTTGATGGAAAATTATCTGAAAAGATTCTAGTTGGGAAGGCTCATTGGGTTTCACTTATAAAACAAGCTACAGGACTGACACAGAAGACACTTAGCAATTTGGTCAAAACGTAAACTCTAAGAGAAATAATTGTACTTCCAAACAAAGCTAATTGAAATCTGACTACTCTCCTTCCCTAGCCTTCTGTTTCAATGGAAAAAATAATCATCTCCACACAAACATTTTTACCAACAGTAAGAAACCAGCTAGCTGCCAATTCAATTTTCTCACCGCTGAGAAGTTCAAGGCAACACTGTGCCATGATGAAAGCCTAATGGAGAGCACACAGCTGCCGCTGCTGCTGCTGTGGCATATGTCACATGTAGAGCCAAAGGCAAAAGGCAAGAGAAGGGCATAAAAGAAAAAAAGAAAAAAATAGGGAAAACAAAATAAAATGCATATGCCATTTTGCTTGCAGTCTTGGCTTGGCCTTTTCCAGTAATTAAAGGGCTAATGTCTGTTGTACAAAATCCTATTAGAATGAATTCTATCGAATTTGATGTCAAATCAGTTTGACTCTGCTACCACCTCCCCGATCTTTCTGGCACTCACTTCGACCTTCCCGAGTTGTTTTCCAGGACCGTCCGGCCAGTGGTGTCCATGCGCTGAATCACCAGATGGTCCAATACCATCTTCTTTTTGGCCCTTTCTATGATCTCTTCCTCCACGGTCCCCTTGGTAACCAGGCGATAAATATTTACCTGCAAG